CAAGATTTGAACTTATATTCAAAACAAGCTCTGCATATCAATGTGTATTAAAACTTTTTTTTGTGTGTAATGGGTTTGAATTCAGGGCCTGGGTACTGTCCTTGAGCTTTTTTGCTCAAGGCTACTTAAGCCACAGTTGTTTCCAGGTTTTTGGGAGATAAAGAACCTCATGGACTTTCCTGCCAGGGCTGGCTTTGAATCACAATCCTTAGATCTCAGCCTCCTGAGTAGTAAGAATTACGGGTGTGATCCACTGGCACGCGGTTCTTTTTTTTTTTTTGCTGGTCCTGGGGGTCAGCCTGGGCACTGACCCTGAGATTCTTTGTACTCAAGGCTAGTACTCTATCACTTGAGCCACAGCACCACTTCTGGCATTTTCTAAGTAGTTTATTGGAAATAAGAGTCCCATGGACTTTTCTGGCTGGCTTTGAACCGCAATCCTCAGTAACTTACAGTAGGAGTACAGGTGTGAGCTACCAGAGCTACCAGCTTTATATGTTTTAATACAAAATTTAAACTGAAAAATAATGGGAAAATGGGTTGAGCCTTAATTTAGATCAAAATAATTTAGCATTAGGGGTCTCTATCACCTTTGTTACATAATTTTGAGGTTTTATCACCATTACTACCCCATGCCTTTCTGCGCTACAAAGTTACCCAGCATTCTTTTTTTTTTTTTTTGGTCAGTTGTGAGGCTTGAACTTGGGGCCTAAGGGTTGTCCCTGAGCAATTTTTGTTCAAGATTAGCATTCTACTACTTTGAGCTACAGCACCATTTCTGGTTTTCTGGTGGTTAACTGGAGATAATATGAGTCTCACAGACTTTTCCTGCCTAGGCTGGCTTTAAACCATGGTCCTCAGATCTCAGCCTCCTGAGTGGCTAAGATTTAGGTATGAGCCACCAGTGTCCAGCATTTGTTAATCACAACCTGTACTTCTCTCTGCTTGCTCATTCTATTTAATATAACGAAGGCAATGGCTTCTACTGTTCTCCTTCCTCCTTTTAACACTTGTCTTAAATACCACTTCTTTTTGAAGTTTCTCTTAATTACTCCAGTTAGGAGGCGTAACCACATTTCTTCTCTTACACATCCAATTATGAACCTGTTTCACATTTTACTGAATACACTTAGGATATCTGTCATATAATTGTCATTGATAATCTATTTGTTCTACATGCAATATTTGATGACTGACACTATATCTTTTACATTTCCCAATTTTTCTTCAGTGTATACTTAAATTCAATTAATGAAATAAGCTGGTGTTCCTTTTTTAATTTTCCTAGCTATAAAGAAAATAAAAAAATGTGGTTGCAATCTTGACTGAATGATAAAAAATTCATTCTGTAAGTTGTTAGAAAAGTCTTTTAAGTGCATGCAAATGAAAAATTTCTCCTGTACAATAATTAAGCAACAACTGTCCATCATCTATTGGGAGAAATTATTTTATAAATTCATATTCATTAAATGTTATAAAAATTTAAAGTTATTTAATATTTCAACTCAAAATCCTACTTGAAAACTTAAGCTTGTCCCCAGGGTATTACAATTTAAGCAAAGTTCTCTCATAAGACATATAGTAAAATATAAAAATATACAATAAAATATAATACAAATGATAATAATATATAACAATAATTCTTTTTTTTTGTCAGTCATGGGCTTGAACTCTGGGCCTGAGTGCTGTCCATCAGCTCTTCAGATCAAGGTGAGTGCTCTGCCACTTGAGCCACAGCACCACTTCCATAATAAAAATTCTGTATGTGAAAAAATGTTTTAGGTTGGAGGCAAGATGCCTCAAAAGCCTTATTTGAATCTTTCATCCTTTCATTTTATATATTTTGTTCAATGCTGAGTGAGGTTATCAACTTTGAATTCATAAGGTACGATAAACTTCAAGTCTTAAACTCTATCTAAGATCAGAATTTTCAGGAGAAAGTCACAGAAAGAGGGCCAATTTGATAAAAATAAGCTAACCTGATGGAATTATTTCAGCTAATAAAATTTTTTAAAAATCAGTCATTATTTTAATGTCTACCATAGGAAATTTGAATAATATTGATCAATATCAGAAATAAATTTTAGGTATCACATCTGGATGCTCTACTTCATACTTACTAGAGAAGAAAATTGGGGCAAAAAGAAAAAAAGAAAGGATTATAAGCTTGCTGCTCCCAAGGCACTCTGCAATAGTGTTATTAGATCTCTCCTAAAGTGGGATTAGGAGCATAACAAACTTACTTAGAATTTCTCCATTAAGAAATGTATTCATTTGGAAATACATTACGACTGGCCCTGTTGAAAGGAGAAAAAAACAAATAAACCAAATTTTCTTCAGGATGGTCTTTCTTCTGTATTCAAATCTAAATATGAAGTTACAGGTTAGAATAGAACTTTTCCTGAAGCTGGCATATAATAAAAATAAAAACAGAGTTATTAAAGAATATTTATATCTTAAACTTTGTAAGTGGCCAAACTGATCATATTGATTTTGACTAATTTTTTAAAATAATTTTTTATTAAGTGATTATATAAATTTCACAGTATTGTGGGATAGTCATACTTAAAAGTCACAAACACATTTTAACCATCACAAGGCAAAATTCTGACTAATGTTCTAATTAAGGCATGTATCACTTAGGCCTTAATTACAATTATATCTTAAAATGTTTATAACTTGAAGTCCCCCTTACTTTTGAAATAAGTTTATGGCATTAAATATTGTTCTGGTACTTAAAATGCTAGTGTGTCAATTGGCTGACGAATACTTCCTGTGCCTATATATTCCTGTTGTCTTCTTTTTTCAGAATTATACTGCAGATGTGTCAACAAGACAGATCATTTCCTATTGTGGTAAGGTATAAGAAATCCACCAGCCATTTTCCATTTGAAGCAGTAAAGTTCAGCAGAAGCTTGTTGAATCACACTAGATTGCTTGAATATTCGAAGTCCACTCAAGTTATTCATATATCTGTCCATGCATTCACATTTTGCTAAACTTCTACTATGTACAATATTTGCTTCCAGTTATATAATTTTTAACTTTGATTAACCATCATATAATTCCAACAGCTTGTCCTGAATAATTCATTTAGAGAAAAGGTGGTAAATTATAATCTAGGGTCTCCACAGGCATTAGAAGAATACATTGATCAAAGACAATTTATGAATTCTGTCTACTGAATCCATAATCTTAAGCTAGACTGGTTTATCCCATAGTACTTGATTTCTAAGAAAATTCTTTTATAAGAATTTTAACATGAAAAGAGCTGTGATTAATAGAAAGAATAAGTAATACTTCTTGCGGAGGAGCCAATAAGACAAATTAATTTTTACTTTTTTTTGGTCGGTCATGGGGCTTGAACTCTGGGCATGGGCGCTGTCCCTCAGCTCTTCAGCTCAAGGTTAGCACTCTAACACTAGCGCCACAGCACCACTTCCAGTTTTCTGAGTGGCTTATTTGAGATAAGAGTCTCACAGCCTTTCCTGCCCGGCTGGCTTTAAACCACGATCCTCAGATCTCAGCCTCTTGAGTAGCTAGGATTACACGTGTGAGCCATGGGTACCCAGCTTTTACTTTTACTTTTAAGGTCAAAGTATAAAATATTTTGTTATCCAAATTCATATTGAAATAAAAGTGTCTTGTGATAAGAAACTCTTCATGGGGTCTGTTGAATTAACTTGAGTAACAGAATTTGATAAATATAAAATTTTTGTCACTGTTATTGAATAATATAAGTGGTTGAGAATGTGTGTTCTGACTTTTGTGGGGGGAAAGGGCGGGGAGGATATGAAGGGATGGGAAGGGGAAACAAAGGAGGAGGCTACAATGCTTGATAAGAAATGTACTCATTATCTTGCCCATGTAATTGTTACCCTTCTGTACAGTATTTTCACAATTAAAAAAAACACAGCCAGTATTCAAAGTGACATTATATTAACTTAAAGTTAAATTAATGTTAAAACAAAGTTAATAAATGTTCCAAACTCACCTCAAAAAAAAAAAAAGACTGTGTTCTGGAGTTAAAATTTTAACCCTATCATTTAACAAAGCTGCAAAACATTTAGCAAGTTATTTAATGTGTCTAAGGTTCAGTTTATTCATCTGTAAAATAGGGATCATCATATATGTGTAATAGGTTCCTGTCACATAGTAACTGTTTAATAAAAAATGCACTTTGCTTTTACTAGTTCCTGATTTTCTTTCTTTTCAAATAATTGAGATTTTAAATAGATGGCCTAAATTTGTAACTTATGAACATGAACTAGCAATATTTTTCTATTCATCTTTACTGGTTACAGATTTGTCTAATAAAGTAGCTCCAAAATTTATAGCAGATCTACAAAATTTTAAAGAGAATTTTATTGACAGGCACACTGAAAAGTTGGGCTGAAAAGAACAAAGTCATTACAAAAGAAAAAAGAAGACTTTGGACTTTTAAAACCCTATATAAGAAGAAGGCAGATCATTACAAAGACTTTGGACTTCTAAAACCCTCTATAAGAAGTAGGCAGAGAGAACTGCAGAGAAAAATGCATCTGAAAACAGATTACCTTTCAGGAAAAGGAAGGATAATTCAGACAGTGGAACTAAGAATCTGATGGCAAATCCAAAATCTTTGTTTTTCTAAGCTTCTCAGAGTAAAAAGCTACTCAAAGAAAGAAGAAAATACATCCATGGAATATGCCTTAGTTCTTGGTTTCTATGATTTAAGCATTTCTTCCTTTCATAGATATCAATCTGAATTGGGTATCCTTAAAGTTCAGTGAAACTATCTTCTTTAATGAAACATATCCAGAAAACACACAAAGATGAATATTATTTAACATAAATGTTATAAATCTTTGCAAAGCAAATATATAAATTAGGTACCAACTTACCCAATAAGCAAATAGTTCACTCACTTTTTAATTTTAACCCACGTAGTTGCAGGTAGCTCCCACTTCATAACCAAGTTTCCATAGAAAAATTATAGGTTTATAATTATTTCAACTCACAGGACTCTGAAGAATCTGAGTAACTCGTTTCCTCTGCTCCATCATATTGAAGTCTTGTCGTAGATCAGGAGACATGTTCCTCTCTCGTATGTATTCTGGGTCATTTTCATTAATTCGATCAAAGTATCTCTCTTTGTGAGGCATGCTGGGAGGAGGAGGAGTAGTGATCACACCTTCACTGGTATCTGAACTCATGTTTCAAGTGCGTGGATTCCCCTTATTCTCTACATAATAAACACAAAGACAGGAGGATATTCATTTTAAACTCAAATTTCAAAGAAGTCATGAAGAATTCTTTTAAATTTGCTGAGCAGAGTAACATGTGTAACTTATCTTTATAAAAGTAGCTTCTAGGCCAGGCACCCCTGCGACCCTCATGCCCCTAATCCTAGGAGGATGAGATCTAGGAACTGTGGTTCAATGCCAGTTTAGGAAAGTCTGTGAAATTCTTGATCTACAAATAACTAGCATAAGGCTGGAAGTAGAGCTCTGACTGCTCTGCTCAAGTGATAGAGAGCCAGCAAAAAAGCTAAGGGACAGTATCCAGGCCTAAGCTCTACTACTGGCCAGCGTGCGCGCACACACACACACACACACACACACACACACACACACACACACACACACACACACACACACACACACACACACACACACACACACACACACACACACACACACACACACACACACACACACACACACACACACACACACACACACACACACACCCCCCCCCCACCCCCCCTAGGCACTGGCTCACATCTGTAATCCTAGCTATTCAGTAGGCTAAAATGTAAGGATCACAGTTTGAAGCCAGCTGGGGCAGGAAAGTCTGTGAGACTTATCTCTAGTTAACTACTCTCCTTTCCTTCCCCCTATCCCCAACCAAAAGCTGGAAACAGCTCAAGTGGTAGAGTGCTGGCCTTGAGCAAAAAGAAGCTCTGGGACAGCACCACCCAGGTGAGCTCCCCTATACCCCCCCAAAAAACACACACCCAACCACTGAAGAGTATACTTTAAATGGAAAATTGTATGGTGTGTGAGTTACATCTCAATAAAGCTGTAAATCCCACATGAGAAGCTCCTGAACCCCTTGCACATCTGGAAATGGAGACCTTTTGTATAATCCCCACAGTGGCTTCGTGTTCCATAAATGAGGTTGATTGGATTCTTTCACTACATCTTAACTCCTTCCCAAACCAACCTGGTTTATATTATATCTACATTAGAAATGTTATAAACAATCTTTTGAAAAGTTATTACTTATAAAATGTCATTTCGAACTTAAAATTCTTGCCAGTTTTAATAGCTTTCTCTAGAGTAAGCAAAGACATGGCTGTACTTTCAAGTACCAGGCCTATTGTTCACACTTAAAATAATAATCAGAGATATAATAAAACATCAAAGCAATACATCTGTTTAAAAGAAAACAAGTTCTGTTTACTAGGTTAGAGATTTTCTTCATGGAAGTTACTATAAAATTGTGAAGGTTTTTAAAGCTTAGATGGAATTTTAAGTTCTTATTCAAGTTCTAAAAGACATACACTATCTTCTACTGCTAGCCAAAATTTTGTAATTGACAGAGATTGACAGATATGGAAAACTGAAGTAGACATAGATAAAAGTCAAGAAAAACAGAAACAAATCCGACATTGAGTAATATAAATGGCGCATCTAAATGCTCAAATGGAGGAAGTTTAATTATCCTACAATCACTGGGATTTCAGTACTATAATGTCTACTGAAGCTACACTTTATTCTTGTAATTATGTCAGATTGAAGGACCATATTTTACAGATGAGAGAAAACTATATTCAGAAGAGTTGTAATTTTTATAAAAGTGAAATCTCAAGTATCACATATTGATATAAAAATCATAATAATATTTATTATATTTTCACTTCTTTCAGACTGCTATATGTCCAAATTTTACCTCCAAGAAATAAAACAGGCCCATCATAACACATTCATATTTATATTGTATAAACGCCACTGACTGAGAAATAAGGGTACAGGAAGGACTAAAATTTTAGGGTTTATTAATGGACTTAGTGTTCCATCTATCTACAATGTACAACTAGATATATGATTAAGAGAGCTGTAAATGGTGGTTTGACCAAAATATTGAGGGAACAAAATTTCCTTTACTTTTTTCTTTTTCTTTCTTTTTTTTTGATCACAGGGCTTGAACTCTGGGCCTGGGTGCTGTCCCTTAGCTCTTCAGCTCAAGGAAAGCACTCTACCACTTGAGCCACAATGCCACTTCTGGTTTTCTGGTGGTTTTATTGGATCTAAGAGTCTCATGGACATTTCTGCCTGGGCTGGCTTTGAACCACGATCCTGAGATCTCAGCCTTCTGACACTGGGCAAAAAGTTTTCTTTTAAGTAACCAAGTTATTAAACATTGGAAAGTACCTATTAATATTTACTAATACGTCAAATTCTGATTTTTCACTAACATTATTTAAAGGCTTTGAGAAAAAAATTAACTACAAAACTAGTTTTTGGATCAGAGAACATTAATCCATATTTCTGGTTTTCTACATTAGATAACTAATGAAGAGGGTTTTTTTTGGGGGGGAGTTGGTTGTGGTGCTTGAACTTTGGGCTTGGGTGCTGTCCCTGTGCTCTTTAGCTCAAGGTGAACCATTATACCATGTCACTGTTTCAGAACCCTTCATCTTAAGTACTTTTTTTCCCCAATAGTAAGGCAGCTTGGTAAGGTAGAAAATGATAAACGGTGTCACAGGACATTATATAACATTTTGAGTTCCAAGCAATAAGGAACTAAAAAAGGCCTTTAAATTAGGTGAAGTCCACCTGAAAAGTTCACATGGGCACAGATCAATATTTTAGAAGCTGTATTTGTTAACCTGACAGACAACAGCTGTATCTTTTTTGTATAGGCTATCAAGAAAATGACTTTATGTCCTAGGTAAAAAATTGTATTTGCCGGGCACCGGTGGCTCATGCCGGTAATGCTAGCTACTGAGGAGGCTAAGATGTGAGGATCACAGTTCAAAGCCAGCCCGGGAAGCAAAATCTGTGAGACTCTTTTCTCCAGTAAACCACTAGGAAACTGGAAGTGGTGCTGTGGCTCAAGCGGTAGAGTGCTTGCCTTGAGCTGAAGAGCACAGGGACAGTGCCCAAGCCCAGAGTTCAAATCACACGACCGACCAAAAAAAAAAATACTGAAGGTGGAGGAAAAAAAATAGAAATATTTAAAAATCTAGGGTGTGACTAAGTCCCATAAGTTTATTTTGTTCTAATATTTCAGTTATTATTTATAAAATACAGCTACAAAAGTCAATCCCAAAATTATATGTAATTCAATATAATTCAAAGAAGTGTGATTTAAGGGATATGTCCATCTTCCTATTTTGTCTGGTAAGAGGCTTTCAAGATAATTACAACTTGATCTGTTTTTCTAATATGGAGCCATGAAAATGCCACTTATTTTAGCACAGGAAATGGTATCTGAAAATTACTTTCAAGAATGCTTTTTGGTTATAACCTGGACTTTAAAAAGCTAGTAATATTTTAAATGGAAGTCCACAAAAAAAAAGATGTATGTATGAGCCTCAGAAATTTGTGTTACAAAAGGTTTTTTTTTTCTTTTCCAAAACCTGCCTTCCTCCACCAAATTATCCTTTAGATCTAAAGTCTAATATGACATGCTATACAAATGGTCCCCAGATGCTAAGTGATCTGCATCTCCAAAGTCAGCCATACAATCATGACATGGAGATTAGAACTTGCAAACTCCAAGTATCTTTATAATGAGGTTAACATGAACTTAAAAGAATGAAACCTAGGGCTTGACATTCAGGAATTTCACCATCAAACCAATAATAAATTAAAAGTCCCCTTGTTACCAATTAAATCATCTATAAAGTATAATCTAAACCATTAGTGATAAATTTTGAGCTTTTATAAAAGGGAAAGGATTCCTCTGTATCCTCATCATTCATCCAGAATATTAACTGCCTTAACAAGCTTGTTGGTTCATTTAAAGAGCTCTGAAAAACAGGATTTAACTTTGAAAAGTGGGGTTTAGCTGAAACGATTAAGAATGTGCTCATGCTTATGATACCTAGAGTTAATTCATGTAAGAGAAAATGATCAAGATTCTTTTCTGACTTGTAGAGATAAGACTAGAAATAATGAGTAGATAAAAAGATGACTATTCAAAATTTTAACCAATGTTTGTGACCTTTGCTCTAAATAAGAAAATTCAGAAGATCTAAATAGTATAATATTGAGTTCCAGAGGAAAAAAAAAGCATTAAATTGATTAATCCTTTAATTTGTGTAAACATTTATAAAAGCAACAGAAACACAGATTTTAAAAGCACAAAGAATATAACATTTATATCTTGTTTTTTTTTTGGTCGGTCGTGGGGCTTGAACTCTGGGCCTGGTTGCTGTCCCTCAGCTCTTCAGCTCAAGGCTAGCGTTCTACCACTTGAGCTACAAGGCGCCACTAACATTTATATCTTAAATAAAGTCGGTCTAAAAAAAAAGAGAATATCCTTGGATTTAAAGATGTCAGAGCTAAAAAAATATTGATTTATTATACTTGGTCCTTTTTCCATATGATGAAACAAATTTCAAAAGAGGATATACCGAGGGGGTAACAATGTTCAAGAGGAAGTGTACTCATTACCTCACTCATGTAACTGTAACCCTCTGTATAGTATCTTTACAATAAAAAAATTAAAAAAAAGAGGATATACCTTGCCCAAGTCACTCAATTTATCTTACTTTACATTTTTCACATGATCTAGATGTATATAATATGGAATGTAGACCATCTGATCTGTCAATGTAAGAAAGATCTAAATTTAAACTGCACTAAAAATGTTTCCTTTAAAGAAATATTTTGGTAATAAATTCATTTTTAGAAGTTACTGTACAGTAAATAAAATTTTAAACTTTTTTGAAAACATATACCTCAAGCTTCAATTTCTTGATTTTAAGGGGTCTGTAGATATGCATTTAGGGCTAACAACACATTAAACAGTAACAGGATGTTATTTTCTAAGAATTTAAATCAATGTATAATATTTTAAATAATGAGAATGGTTTTCTTTCAAGCTTACAAGGTGATTTACTAGAGAGTGAGCTTTATGACTGAGCTTTTCTTTGCCCACTCACACTGAAGAGTCCACTTAAATTGCTTGTTATATTTTAAATTCAGGCATGAAGTAGGATTCTTGTTC